TTCCTTTTACACTTTGACGTCACCTAGAGCGTTGTGCTGCACAAATGAATGAAAAAAAGCAAGACAAATTATTAATACCACCGCCTCTTTCAGGATTCAGATATTTCTTTTATCAAAATTCAGTTGTCTGCAAGACTCTGAGCTCATTCAGTCTCTGAAAGATTTCAGTCTGTAAACAAAGCACCTGAAAAGTAAAAATTTTAAAAGACTCGTCTTTGATGATATAAAAGCATACCTTGGAACCTCATGTGTCTGAAGCTTGAAGATCCATTCTTCCTATACCTTTGATATGCATATTTTAAGAAGAATTAAGAAAAAGAAAGCCTGAGCAATGGATCTGAGCTACAATGAACTTTTTGTACTAATCGTACGAACTTCAAGTTCCTACTCTTGTCTCATCCTTTTCTGGAAACGTGAAATGATTAGCTATGAGAAACTATCTTAAGAACTTCTTTTGTTTTGATGTATTTGTTGACATGAATTAAGCTTTCGAATTCATCTTTCACATATTGGTTATACATAGAGAGAGGAGAGAGATCTCAAATATTTACTTCTCTATGTTGAATTAGAGAACATAACAAAAGCAAACATTAAATGATAAGAGCTCCTTTAATTTTCACAGTTATGTAAAAGAAACTTCACACGTACATACCGTTACACTAGGTTTTTCTTGATGCCTGTCCTGACTTTTCTCTTTCAGTTTTTTATTTTTATCAATAACTAGATGGTTTCTCTAGTTATCTTCCCTTTCTAGCAAGGGCAGTTTGAGAGCATATATAATAATGAATAATCCATGTCATGGCATCATCTTTTAAGAAATAAAGATGTGTTACGTTAAATCAAACTTAAAGATTTCTTTTTTACTGTCTGCCAATTGAAGGACTTTCATAAAATATATTAAAATAATTGTATATGCTTGAAGATATTGGAAGACAATTAATTCATTAGAACCTATAATTTCTTCATCTAAACCACTAATTAATTCGAAGTAAAAAAGATCTTTTATTGTTCTACAAGCACCAGAAAGAGATCAAGACAGAGTCAGGGAGAAAACATACCAGCACAAAGTGCTCTTATGAGATTTTTTTTTTTATACAGTCATCCTCCTCTCTCTCCTTTTGTCATCTTTCTAACTGAAGTATATATATATACAATCACTATCTTTTTTGCCTTTAGAGCATCTGGCTTCAATTTGGATTCACACACCATCACTGCTATACATACAATAATTAACCTATATAATTTTTTTTAGGGATATATGGTAGTTATATCTATCTTTTTTTTTCTTGAACAGTTCGGAAGTTTTCAGTTTGAATGAAAGAGAAGATGAAAAAAAGAGGAATTGACTAATGTGGGTTTGTGCATGTATCTGTACTCCTTTCCTATTCTGCGGTGGTTGATCTTGATCCACTCAAGTCTGCAAATTTGCTGCATTTGAGTCTTATTAGGTCAAGGATGATTCTTGTTTATGAAGAAAACGCTGAAGGAAACATAAATTAACATTACGTATAAAAAAAATTAGTATTTTAGTTATTCGACTAGTTTAAAGCAATTAAATTTAAATAGTGCCTATCATAATAGCACTAGTCGACCACACAGAGTCAGTGTTTTTCATTTACATTATACTATTATATCATATCAAATTAGGAGGAGCATTACTATATTAAAGACAACGATTTAGACAAGTGTACTTTTTTTTCCCCCATTATCTGTAAATTTATGCACACAAAATCTCAGTACTAATAAATCATATTGGGTTTGTGTAAGTGGAAAAGTAGATCAAGTGTAATTTTTTTCATGCATCTAAAAATCTATTTCTTAAAACTTTCAATACATGATATATGTATGTGAGAGACTATTCTAATACCACTTGTAAAGTGTATATTACTGTAATATACTACCTCCCACCCTTAATATAAGACTTTGTTTGACTTTTATTTTGATTCTAAATATAAGACCCCAATTCATTTTGTCTCTCATATTTATATATTTTTTTTCAAAGTAGTCTTTCTAACAATGGTAGTTCTAGCCAATATACTTGATTAGCAAGGATATTTTAGGAAAGACAACACATATTTATTATAAATAAGTAACTTAACTTCTTTTTTTAATCTCCTCAAACTAGTCAACTAGCTCTTATAATTAAGATCGGAGGTACTATATATATTATAGTCTGATAATAACACTTGCGATTGCTGTATCTATTTATGTGGGGCGTGCGTCTGAGTGAGTGAGTGTGTGTGTGAGAGAGAGAGAGAGAGAGAGAGAGAGAGAGAGAGAGAGAGTAGTAATTAATAGCGCTAGGAAAACGAAAGGGATGTATAATTAAAAAGAAAAATCACGAGGAGAAACATTGTGAATGAAGACAAAGATGCAGCAGAAAAGTGAAATTTTTGAGATTTTAAAGAAACATAGCCTTTTGTGAAAATATATAAATCTGTGCGTGTGTGTGTGAATCATCACTATCAAAATCATGGGTTTTTGTGGCAGATGCATATGTGGGGACATGGATCACAATACAGAAGAGGAGCAGATTCTCTAAAAGGGACACAACCAACGGGAATGCTAAGACTCCCATGTTACTGTTGTGCACCAGATTGCAAGCACAACATTGAACATCCACGAGCAAGGCCTTTGAAGGACTTCAGAACCCTGCAGACTCACTACAAGAGAAAGCATGGCATCAAACCCTACATGTGCCGGAAGTGCGGGAAGCCGTTCGCCGTCAAAGGCGACTGGAGGACTCACGAGAAGAACTGCGGCAAGCTCTGGTACTGTCGTTGTGGTTCTGACTTTAAACACAAAAGGTCTCTTAAAGATCACATCAAGGCCTTTGGCCATGGCCATGCAGCTTGCTGCTTGCATGAAGAAGACGAGCCAGCTTCTGAGATTGAACAAGATGGTGAAAACCCCTAGCTAGCTTGGTTTAATTCTATTTTAGTTTCTGATGTGATCAGATCGATGATGATATTCCAGTTTCATTTCACATCATATATATATATATATATGCTAGCTTGTACTAATATATCTAGATGTATTCGTTCTCTCTTATATGTGTTTGACTGCGCGCGTTCGTCTCGTAATGATTTAGGCTGCCTTGTTTTTTTACTTTTGTGTCGGATTTTGTGATCTGTAAATATATCTCTCATTTGAATCTCTGAGAGTCTGAGATGATAGAAGTCATATATTCTGCTCGGTGACTGGCTTGGCTTGATGTTTTATATGGCAATCCATATATAGTGAGCAAAGCAGTGTTGTTAGTGGTACAATTTAAATTACAGTTAAGCTCTACTAAACCCTATACAAACTCTAACCCCGAGGGGTTAGGTCAGCTGGCTGGGGCTGTCCTAGCTTAACCACAGGTCTCGAGTTCGAGCTGTGGGAATGCAGCACCCTGAGGGGCCAGAGGGCGCCGACCGAAAGGTTCCTTGCAAGCCTTCGATCCGAATTAGTCTGGGGACGTTGTCACGGCTGAAAGACGCCTATTTCCCTGGAATACCGGAGGAGAAATCCAAAAAAAAAACCCTATACAAACTCTGAGAATAAAAGCGATTAGCTGAAATCATAACTCTAGACATTTTGTTTAAAAATAAATTACTAAATTAATTTTGCTTGACTATGATCAAATTAAAGTTATAAATTATATTATATGTATATATATCCGTTTGTGGTCTATAAATATACATATATTTATAGATTTAACCTTATAGAAAAGAAAGTAAACAGTACATTTTCGATGACCAAAGTTTATGTTTGTTTTCTCAAATAAAGTCATGATGTTGAGTCCCGTTAAAAAAGTCATTACATGGGAAAAGGTGATGATAAGTTGGATATATCTAAATTGGAGAATAGTCATTTTTAACTAATAAAAGAAAAAAAATAATATTATCCCTTATCATTAGTGTAAGAGCTAGTTGATTAATTTAAGAAGATTAATGAAGTTAGTTAAATTAGTTTTTTGTAATATATAAATAGGCGTTGTCTTTTTTAAAATACTCTTGTTAGTCATGTATATTAGAATTACCCTTATATGAAAACTTTTAACATGTGCAACCACCACAAGGGCTACTTTAAAAAATATAGATAAATATGAAATATAAAATAAATTAACGTTTTATATTTAGAATCAAATTAAATATGAAACTAACTCTTATATTAGGAGACGAGTTAGTACATTAGTCATTATATATGCAAGTTGTTGGACTATAACGATGCCCCTTGTTTTTTATTTTATTTTATTTTGATGAGGTCTGAATTCGCGAGCGTTAAGAGTTAACATGTTTGGGTGTTTAAGCATTTAAATTAATTATAATAAAAATTAATTATGTTCCCTATTTTTTTGGATGAGTTTCCCGATTAAAAATGAATGTTAATATGTCTGTGTGTGCAAGTACTTAAATTGATTGTAATAAAAAAAAAAAAAGTGTGTGTGTATCAAACTACAAGTGGTTTCGTGATTTTACGATGGTTTCTTGTGATCAGATTCAGAGTAGATTGTGTAGAACAACAGAAACAACAAGACAATTCAAATCTGATCCTTTTGTCGTGACGTGGCATTATGGTTTTCTTAGTGCTAGTGGCATTAATCTGAACCTTAAAATGGGCAATTTTTATTTAAAAAATCCAAAGTGTATATATATAGAGGTTTTTTAAAAAAATAAAAAGTCTGTATACAATAATAAAACAATCTAAGACATGAATAGATTGATTTCTCAAAACTCTGTATATGACACAAAAATTTTAAAAATTAAACGGTAAATTATAATTATTTATTTTTCAATAGAACAATAAAAAAAATTATACTTCTAAGTCAAAAAATGATATCAATAATCTTTATTGTACAATACTAGATGTATTAATTTCTAGCGGAAAATGCTTCAGCAAAGAAGTATAAGTTAATTAAAAATAATTGATTTCTTATCAATTAATATGACATATAAAATTACTCCAAAATTATAATTATAATTAGTCAGTCTATAAGCTGACGGCAGGATTCATCTTCTCAGAGTCTCTCAGTGAGTCACCGGACCTTCTGGAGATTCCTCTCTCCGTCCCTCTGCCTCTCTTTGTCTCGCTCTGCTTATCTCCGCCGCGAAAGAAGGAATTCGAATGGCTTTTGCGATCGGTCTCCCTCATAACCTGCTTCTGCCCAGTGCCTCCCGTGGCAAATTGCAGGTGAAATCGTGCTCTCAGATTCAGATTCAGACCAAGAAACGGTGCTTGCGATGCAATACGCTTTACTCTGATCAAGAAAATTCCCCAACTGCTTGTTCTTTCCATGGCCACGCCAACGGTATGCGTATTCTTTCTCATCCACTCACTTCTCTGCCTGATAATCCGATAGCTCTCCCACAGTTTCACTTCTCCTGTTCGTCTCGTTCTCGTCGTTATTCAGCAGCGATTGACTTATAATTTAATCGCTCTGTTTCTGGATTTTTCTTTTCGCGCTTTCCGATCTCTCTTACGAATCAGGGATTTGAAAATGAAAACTGTCTTTAGAAAACCGTCGGCAGAAATATCCATTCTTCAAATTTGTTTCGGCTTCGCATCTGTGTCTTGAAATTTATTTCTGCTTGTTCGTTTGATATCTGAATCATGCCATGGAAATTATGAAAGAATTTTCAACACCACACGAACTTTTATCAATTGCTAAAGATTAAATTAGCGCTCGGGCATTTTAATAGTTAGTCTTAATACCTATTTAACTATAACTATTTTTGATTTAAAAAATTAAATAAATTAGTTAATTATAAAAATATGATATCTTCTTTCTAAAATATTATAATAATTTTTCTTAATATATTTTCTTCCTTATTAAAGAAGTATCAATATGACTGATTTTTTTAAAAATTAATTAATAAAAAATAGAAGTTATATTTATAATCAAGAGTAACTTATGGATTACTTATGCAGTAGCCTGGTTCAAGTTATGCCAATGTATTGTTAAATTTTTGCAATTTGTTTAATTGGAGTCTAGTTTTCTGTTTTGACATTTTTGCGACTTGGCCTTGAAAGTTGGCTTTGGATTAGTAGGAGTTAGTTTGGCCAATTGAAAGAGTTAGAAATATTTGAATTTGAGTTTTTTTTTAAAAATTCCTGCACTGAACTTATGTTATCCCGGCCCAATTTAGTAGGTTCAACTGGACTAGGGGCCTAAAACTGCCGCTGACCACTTGAATTGGGCTTGAGGTTGGGCCAAGGCCCAGGAAAGACAGCCCATGGAGAAAGCTAACGGCGTGGGTGGGTGGTTGGACTTGCAGGGGAGAAGGGGTTGTTCTCGTTGGCGCCACCACACCAAGGGATAGATGGGGAGTGGACGGACGAATCAGGAGTGATTGTGTACAAATGGAATGACAAAGGCAACAGACCCAACACAGGTCGCCCCAACTGGAAGAGACGGTGGAGCTGTTGTGCCGAGTATGATGAGAATACCCCTCCTTGCCGACGAGCCTCCCATGTCTCCTATGATGATGGTTTCACTTTGTACTAACCATATTCCCCCCCCCCCCCCCAAAAAAAAAAAGTTCCCCTTGTATATAATGCTTTCGATGTATATTTAGAGGAAAACATCACTTCAAAGAGCATATTTATCTTTAAGTATTCTACCTCTCATCCTTCATATATACTAGTAGGAGTTATTTCACTAGCCAAGGCTGATTAATGAAGTTAGATAAAGTTGTTAATTATAATATACTATCTCCGGTCCTTAATATAAGACTTTGTTTGACTTTTATTTTGGTCATGAATATAAGACTCCAATCTATTTTGTCTTGCATATTTATACTTTTTTTTTTCCAAAGTATCTCTTCTAACAATGATAGTTCTAGTTAATACATTTAATTAGTAAGGATATTTTAGGAAAGACAATACCTATTTAGGACAAATAACTAACTCAACTTACTTCTTTAATCTCCTCAAATTAGTCAACTGGCTCTTATAATTAGGACAGAAGGTAGTATGTTATATCATCCCTTTAAAATAATTATGTATAACATTATGTTAAATATCAGTCTCTAAGTTAAGTAAATTAGTTTGTGAAAAAAATAATAAATATAAATAATAAAATGGATTGAAGGAGTATTTTGCCAATATCTTTCCCTCAAGTGGGCAGGAGTCATTACCCAAGAAGAGACGTATGGAGGAGATGGTGTAGTCCGTGCGGACTTCGGCATGAAATAGTAGTTTTGAACTCAATTATCACCAGAGAATTTTAAGGTAGTTCTCATGTACTTAGTTGAGTTAACAAACAAAAAAAAAAGGTTAATAACTCATAAATACTACTATTTGTTACAATTTCTATATCATACTACATAAATATTCTTCCGGTCCTTAATATAGGACCTAATTGTTGAGTTGATTTTGGTCCTAAATTAGGACCCATTTTTCATATTTGTCAATTTTCTCTAAATTACCCCTATAGATACTCCCTCATCGGAGGAGTATAAGCATTTTTTTTTTACCTGGATATATAAATATAACAGACTTAGTTCCATGATCAACTTTTCCATCTTGGCTAATTTTTTCTGACTGATTGGGCCAAACACCCGCACTAAAGATTGGTAACTCACATCAGCCAGTAAACGACTCTAAGTAACAGCAGCTCCCGAGGTACATGAACAAACGTTGAATGTTCAGAGGTAAGCAATGATTGATGAGATTGGCCCAAAGAAACAATGATCAATGTGGTTCTTCTTATCTAATCCATGCTTAAGTTTAGTATCAGAGAAGCAACATGCGTGGAAATAAGAGTTAGGTTTCTAATTTGGCCAAGATTATTATAGAGAGAGAGAGAGAGAGAGTAAAATCTGCATTAGTCACTCCAACTAGAGAAATGCAGGATAATTAAAGTGAAAATCTCTCAGGCTATGGTCAGAGCAGTGTTTCATTCTTCCCCAGAAACAGCAAAATGTTTGATGATAGCTCAGACTTCTCTTAAATTACATATGGACACTGTCATAAACAGGGGCCATGCTAATTTCAATTCAATACCAGATTGAAACCAAGACATAGCTGAATTGCAAGCAACAAACATGTTGATCATACAGAAAATCGTGCATTACCAGGGACAGGCTCAATAATCAAGATCAAAAGGACCCAACAGTCTTAAAAGACTCATGAACATGCCTCAGAACCTCCTTATCTCTGTTCCACTCCGGCGTCGGAGCATTCACGAAATGGGCATAAAGCTTGTTCTTCGCACACGTCACAGAAATCAAACTATGGGCTCCAGCCCCATCGATCTCATACACATAATAGATCTGACCATTCTCGTCCTTCTTCTCCTCCGACGTCAAGTTGTCCGCATTCGCAATCAGATCCTGCAATTCCACGTCCGATAACGCCAAATTGTTCAGCACTGTGTCCTTCGGAGCTAATTGGCGAAACCCCGAAAGGAAAGTGAGGTACTCCTTCTCCGTTTTCTTCTTCGGATTGAAAAATTCACTGTCCGTTCCGTTCGTTCCCTTCTCGACCTTCGACACAAGGCGCTCTTTCCAACCCTCTGGGACGTCGTAGACGTACTCGGCGGAGTCTTTCTTGTTGGAATTCCCGCCGTAGCCACCGTAGTTGGCGGCACTGGCGGCAGTGCCGTAGTAGACTTGGTAGTTGGTATTGGAATCTGCCAAGGAAGGAAGAGGAGTAGTTGTGAGTACAGCGGCAATAGCGGCGGCGGTTAAGGAGGCTGTTAGAGGTGGCTTGCAGGATGAAATGGGGAGGAGGGGTTTGGATGAAGGAGAAGGTTTTGATGGGGCGGTGGTCGTTCCGGCGGTGGAGGCGGAGGAGGAGATGGGTGGTGATGAGAAGAGGGTGGCCATGGCGGGTTGAGTTACGTGGGAAGCGTTATCCCTTCGAGAGGTGGAAGTCTATGTAATTCGTTTCATTATCCGAATGATCCGCGGAGAAGAGAAGATAGGCCGGGGAAAGCTTTGGATGCCCACGTGGCTGCTTGCTTGACCAATAACATTATGCCACGAATCGATGCCGCGGTGATGTTGCAAAACAATTAAATATTAAGGAATAATTTTACAATTAAAAATGGATATCTTCAACTCAATTTTTTTTGCAAAGTTTTCATTATTAAAAATATAAAACACTATAATAGTGCTTATCTATTCACTGGACATCATCATTTTGTGATGCCTTGCCCATACAATTTTTTTTTTTGAACTATGTGTGCGTAATATCAACTTAAAGGTTAATAAAAGCATTTTATAGAACTTTTTTTTTTCACACGATTGTCGTGGGATGATATAAAAAGTCTTACCAGTAATATTTTTATAGATAAGTTGTTGACTTTTCTACCTTTGTGCATCTACAACTACAACAATGAGAAATGTCAAGTATTATCCTATCAGTGGAATAATCAAATTTTTAAATAGGTTGTTAACCCTATAATTTTACTTAATAATTTTATTGAGTGTTCTCTTCCTTATTCTTATATTTTTTTTATAGAGAATTTCAAATTGTCTGGTCTATTGTTTTTATCACAATGTCCAATAGTCTTCTCTATACACGTTTATATTATCTCAAATAATTTTTAATAATTTTCTTTTCAATAGACACTACGCCTACTTTTCTTCTAATATTAATATTTTGAATCTTTATTATGTTTTTTTTTGTATGAATCCATCTCAACATCCTTTGATATAAGAAAATATTTTTAATTTGTATAACAGACTTTTATATTGGTGCATTTCGAATCTAAAATAACATGTCTTGCTTTAGATGAGATTGCTAGCTATAGTTGCCTCATCACCACTTCTTCCGTGTCTTGCTACCTCGGAACACTATTTGTTCTGGTCACGCTAAAAAGGAAGTTAAAGAGTGAAGACGTGAAAGGGCAAACGCTAAGCTTCTTATATTTTGATGAATAAGGGATTTTTTACTCATATACGATTAACAGTGAAAAAATTTACTCAGATACGATAAGATCAAAACTATTTATCAAGATACTACACTTAAAATCGTTCAGACCGTGAACAACTTTAAATTTATATAGAACTCGATCTAGATCTGAACAATTTCAGTGGGGCCCACATTAGAAAATAAAAGTTGTTCTTGGTCTGAACAACTTTAGTGGGGCCCACATCACAAAATGCAAGTTGTTCTTGGTCTGAACAACTTCAGTGGGGCCCACATAATGAAATGAAAGTTGTTCTTAATCTGAACAATTTCAGTAGGACCCACAATCCATATTTGTCTTGTGCTCCACGTGAAATTGCTTCCTTCCATGCCTTTTCAATTTTCATTTGACCAGACCACACTTTTGTTTTTTCTTGCCACACGCAAAGTCACTCAAGGAGTAGTGTTCCATTGTTTGAAGCTCAACTCACTCGTAAGGATTCCTTCCCTACATATTCCCATCAGTATAGGACTCAGGGAGTGGTCATTTACTGTCTTTAGCTTTGTTTTGGCATGTGAGTGTATAGTGTAATTTTGGTCTATATAATGGCATTTGACATTCTCATTCCATCTGCCTTCTCATCACTTCTCAAATTGTTCTTAAACTTAGCTAATTCCTCTATTCTTCTTTCTCCTTCCACACTTTCGTGTGAAGTAGTTGGTGTGTGCAATCTTACAATTGTATACATTTTAGAAATTAGAGGCTGAAAGGAATATAATTATTCTTTGACTAGTACATGAAGGTAAATTTACATTGAATAATGATAAGCTTATAATAAATACACTTGTGTAATTTTACATTAAGTACCATTTAAGTGACCCAAAAAAGCATCCTTATGATTGAAAACAAAAATAAATGTTAATAACTATTTCACACTAGTTATTTAAAAATTATAATTACTTAATATGACAAAATAATTAGCCATTACTGATGAGTAATTTTTTAATATTTATATTTTATTATTTGGTCTCCCTAAATAATTATAATTTTTATGATTATTATGATTATCTTTAATAAGTATTACTTTTCCTAAGTCCTCCTCTCTAATTTTTCCCAAAAATTAAATAAAAAAACTCCTCTCTTTTATTATTATTAATCCCACCATCAGTACTCTTTTTATTAGAAAAATTTGGGTACCATTTAGTGCTTGTTTTCACTAGATATAAGACCAGACTAAACTCACAATCAAATATTATCTGACCAAATACATATTTAATTTGACTACATATTTACTCAAACACTATCTACTAAAAAAACAGTTATATATTTAATCAGATTATAAAAAAGTAAACTACAATTTATTTTATATGACAATTAATTATATCTCTACATTTTTTAATTAAAACAAACTCAACATGTTAAAATGACTAAATATAAAATTTTTATTCATCATTTAGCAAAATATATACCAAAATTTTTAAAAAAAGTTAATCTAGAAAATGTACCTTATTCATAAGAAAAATCAAGTTTTACGTTGAGACAAAATATATACAACTAAAAAACCACACACACCACCTACTTCACACGAAAGTGTGGAAGGAGAAAGAAGAATGGGAGGAATCGGCCAAGTTTAAGAACAATTTGAGAAGTGATGAGAAGACAGATGGAGTGGGAATGTCGAATGCCATTGTATAAACCAAAATCACACTATGCACTCACATGCCAAAACAAAGCTGAAGACAATGAATGACCACTCCTTAAGTCCTATACTAATGGGAATATGTAGGGAAAGAATCCTTACGCATGAATTGAGCTTTAAACAATGAAAGACTACTCCTTGAGTAACTTTGCGTGTGGCAAGAAAAAACAACTTTCATTTCGTGATGTGGGCCCCACTGAAGTTGTTCAGACCAATAACAACTTTTATTTTCTGATGTAGGCCCCACTGAAGTTGTTCAAACCAAAAACGAGTTCTATACAAATTTAAAGTCGTTCACGATCTGAACGATTTTAGGTGTAGTATCTTAGTAAATAGTTTTGATTTTATCGTATCTGAGTAAATTTTTTTACTGTTCATTGCATCTGAGTAAAAAAGCCAATGAATAAGCACATTCATGTAAGTTGAAACAAAATTTCACTTGCATACTTATCATATATTTTGTAAATCATAATTAAAAAACTGATTCTAAACTATTCATAAGCCATTCCAAATAAATCTGAAAATAGTAAAAGAGAAAAAATAATGAGGGAGGGAAGGTTAAAACTAAGGAGGTTTTTAAATGAAAACTAAACCATTATTTTAAAAAGGGTTTTACAGTATACGAAATAAATATGTAGAGAAATTTGTTTTAATTTATAAAAAAAATACTTTTAAAAAGTACTTCTGATGAGATCCAAATACCTTCTAAAGTTCAAACAAAGCAAAATCTTTTCACTATCTCCACCTAATGTTATTTTTGCTTATCCGGTAATTTAACAAAAATGATATTTCACACAAACAAAATATTATTTAATATTATTTTAAAAAAATTATAAAGCATTATTAAATTTGATTGGGCCCTAGTCGCCAGGGAGTAGCCCATGGAATAAAGGAAGAAAAGTGAATAAAGCACAGCCGGCTTTCTAAGCGTGCAGATTTCCAATGCATCGGAAAGTCTCTATTATTCATTCTGACCGACAGTTTCTCCACCTCCGCTGTTCCTTCGAGGGAATGTACAGTGCTTGCTTACAGCGATATATGCAGTGCCTCATTCGAATCTCAGAAAGGTTTTATGGGATAACTTGATATCCATGTCGGCCACAACTTCTGAACCGTGGGTAGGGTGTAGTGTGTGGGGACTTCAATGATATAAGATTCCCTTCGGAAAGAATTGGTGGTTCTCAAGCTAATTTGAAATGGATGGACCGGTTTAATAATCAGATTAATGACTGCCACGTTTCAGATTTGGGATTTAAGGGACCCCGTTTCACTTGGAAGGGACCACAAAATTTCAGTGGTGGAGGACTTTTTGAGAGGCTAGACAGAGCTTTGGCAAGCCTAAACTTCCTCAATGCTTTTCCAGATAGTATTGTTAACGTACTTCCGTGCACAAAATTCTCTGATCACAATTCTCTGATTTTGTTACTATCTGAATTGCCCGTGTCTAAAAGTTCTAAACCTTTTAGATTTGAGGCTATGTGGTTAGAACATGAAACTTTTAAGGACTTCTTGATTGATGCTTGGAAACAAAGTGATGACTTGAATAATACTCTAAATGATCTAAAAGATTCAATTATTGTTTGGAATAGAGATGTTTTTGGGTTCATCGAAAAAAGAAAGAGACAGATCTTGGCTAGATTAAATGGTATCCAAAAATCTGATGCCTATCCCTCTCGTTTCGTTTGTAATCTCGAAATTAAGCCGCAAAATGAATTAGAGGAAGTTCTCAAGTTGGAAGAGATGAAGTGATTCCAAAAAGCTAGAATAAACTGGGTTTCTAAAGGTGATCGTAACACTGTCACCTTAAAACTAGGTTTAGAAGGAAGAAGAATAGGATTTTATCTCTGAAAAATGAGGCTGGGGTTTGGACTGACAATGAGAATCAGCTAAAGGATGTGGTGATTGGTTACTTTCATACTCTTTATAAATCAGACATCTCTACTCAACCGACGATCAATACTAATACCCACTCCCCTCTAGTGGATGGTGCCTTGGAAGATCTAGGTGTGGAACCCACTGATGATGAGGTGAAAAGTGCTATCTTTTCTATGGGACCGTACAAAGCCCCAAGGTGTGATGGGTTTTAGCCAATTTTCTTTTAAAGTAACTGGAGTACTGCAGGCCCTTCTGTTTGCAGTTTTGTGAGGAAAGTTTTTAAGGGGGAGGTATCTATGTCAGAAGCTAACAAGACGCTAATTTCCTTAATTCCAAAAAGAGAGAATCTTGAAATAGTGGCTAATTTTAGGCCAATTTCTCTCTGCTTAGTCCATTACAAGTGCATCACTAAAGTAATATCTCAAAGGCTAAAGATTGTGATGAATGATCTTATTTCTCCTTCTCAAGCCAGGTTTATTAAAAGGAGACATATTCAAGATAATATAGTCATTACGCAGGAGATACTCCATACTATGAAGAAAAACAAAAGCAAGAAAGAGTTGGTAGCAATAAAAATTGACTTGGAAAAAGCATACGATAGAATAAGGTGGGATTTCTTACAACAAGTCCTTTATGAGGCAGGGATGGATAGGAATTTTGTCAATTTGATCATGTCCTATGCTACTTCTGTTTCCTACAATGTTTTGTGGAATGGTTCCAAAACCCAATTCTTTAAGCCTGAAGGTCTCAGATAGGGAGATCGTATATCTCCCCTCTTTTTTGTCCTTTGTATAGATAAGCTTTCCCATTTGATTTCGAATATAGTTAATGATGGGAGCCGGAAATCTATTAGAGTAACAAGCCAGGGGCCTTTTATCTCCCATCTACTATTTGCAGATGATCTCCTCTTATTTGGTGTCTCCATGGAGAAGCAAATTGAGTGTATGCTGAATTGTTTGGAGAAGTTTACTCAAGCACCGGGAGGGCTTGTGAACAGAAATAAATCCACCTTGTTCTTCTCTCCAAAAGTGGCTAATAATGTGAAAGGGAGAATCAAAATAATGACTCAAATGAGAATCTCCCACGAAATAGGCAAGTATATAGGATTTCCACTTACTAATGGCAGGAATCCTGTGCAAAACTTTCAATATATCATTGATAGTGTCAGAACTAAAGTTGCGGCTTGGAAAACTGATAGCTTATCTTTGGCAGGACGTATCACATTAGCCAAATCTGTTTTGAGCTCCATCCCCTTGTACTCAATGTAGGTTGCTCTATTACCTAAGAGAATTTGTGATGAAGTAGAGAGATTACAAAGGAATTTTATATGAGGAAATAACCAAAATTCTCATAACTATCACCCTATTGGATGGCAGCGAGTAATTCTACCTAAATCCTTTGGCGGCTTAGGCTTTAAGAAGCTTCCCGCCGTAAATAAGGCTTGTGGAGCCAGATTACTTTGGAAGTTGTTGATTAGAAAAAAAGGATTGTGGGTAGAGATCTTAAATCAGAAATATATCATGAGAGATGCAGAAAATTTGTTCACTGCCTACGCAGGAGATTCCTCTCTGGAAATTTATCTTTCAGCAAAGGCAAATAGTTGATGAAGGTGCTAAATGGCAAATCCGAAATGGACAATCTGTCAATTTTTTTTAAATGATATGTGGCTGTATTCTGACAGAAAAATAAAAGATATGTGCATAAGATCTCTTACTAAGGAGGAGAATGCAAGTGTGGTAGCAGAATGGATTTTGTATGGGGCTTGGAACTTTCAAAAACTTAGTTCCATAGAAGAAGAGGAGGTGCTACAGAGATTAATAGGGGTGTTACCCCCTATGGAAAATGCTGGACACGATGTGATGAGCTGGAAAGCTACTAATAATGGTTTGTTCACTTTGAAAAGTGCTTACTTCCTTATAGAAGAAAATGATCAGACGCTCTACAATCCTACCTATAAAGCAATATGGAAGTGGAAAGGAGTGGAGACAATTCAGGTCTTTCTTTGAAGAGTTTTTCATGACAGGCTCCCAACTAATTATTGGAGGAGTAAATGGTTACAAGCTCCTGCGAATTGTGACTATTGTGAGGTAGAGATTGAGGATACTTTTCACATATTAAGGGATTGCTCTTAAGCAAGGAACTACTGGTTACAAATTCTGAATCCAAAATTTTACCCTGATTTTTTCAATGCTTCTCTGAAAGACTGGGTTTCTGATAATTTGAACCAAAGCAGGGGAAAGAATGATATGGTTCAATAGGGTCTTCTATGGGGAGTCTCAGTCTGGAAGCTCTGGCTCTGGCGCAATAAATCAGTATTTGAAACAGAAGTGGAGAGTAGACCAGCAGATCCGGCTACTTATATTATGAATTGCTGGAAGTACTTTGTCCTTGAGTCATATCAAAAGAGGAGTCTGTCTGATTGCCAGGTTTATCGAAGCATTAAATGGAGACCGCCACCCTGGGGCTGGCTAAACATGAATGTTGATGGTGCATGGAATCAAAGTTCTACAAAATCTGGTTGTGGTGGTGCTGTGAGGGACGCTTCGGGCACTTGGATTGTTGGCTTCTGTTATAACATTGGTATTAGCAGTGCAATGGAGGCAGGAGAATGGGCAGTTTTTAAAGGCTTGTCCTTAGCTTGGGACTTTGGATTTAAAAGAGTTATTCTGGAATCTGACGCAGGGAGTCTAGCTGACGTTCTACTCCAACGGAAGCATAATGAGAATGGCACTTTAATGTTTACCAGAATAGTCGCTATGCTGAGTTATAACTAGGAAGTGGAAATAAGGCATATTCCAAGAGACAGCAACAAAGTGGCGAGTGCACTAGCTAAAATGGGAATTTTTTGATTCTTGTCCAGAACATCTAAGATTGCTGCTGGAAGCGCCCCCCCCCCCCCCCAAAAAAAAAAAGTATCGCTGCGAGAAGTTGATTGTAGTGGACTTCACGCTGAAACTGAATAATCTGGGGTGTTAGCCCTCCCCTAGCGGAAATGAGGTATTTTTTTCCCCGGTTGTCCTTTTTTTTCTCCTCTAACTTTTCTTCATTATTATTGAATGAAAATTATATTAATTCATAAAGTTGTAAATTATTCAGATTAAATTTTAATAATTTCAATTTATTTACATATTTTTTATATAAAAACAAAATAATAATCTTATGAAATGTTAAATATGAAATCATTAAGGGTTTATTTGTGTCCATGGGTGGTAAATACTTATAAGCAATTTCACTTCTCATAGAAATTTTGCTAGTTCTATTTATAAACTTCAAATTTGAAAAGAGGTGTGATCTATTTTATAAGTTTCAATTTGGATTTGTCTTAACATTTAATGTATATTTTCAATGTTACTTTTAATTATTTCTCTTTTGTCGTATTTTCCTATATATTCTTTTTCATCATTTTCTCATTTATCATAAGAATATATTTAAAAATAAAAATATATTTCTAAAATATTTATTATTTTTAAATAATTTTAATTAATTATTTGTTATTCATGAATTTGTTATTTAAAGTTTATAATAAAAACATAAAGGAGTATTTACCTTGGAATTGAGTTACTCCAAACAGTTCTAATATTTGGATTCAGTAATAATAAATGGAACAAAGAAAGGGTTGTTTGGACGACGCAAAAGTGTTTTTAAAAAAATATACAAATTCTTTTATATATTTATTTTAAAATTATTTTTGAAATTATAATTTGTTGTCTATCTAAATAGGAAAAATTGCAATAAAGTTCCCCTAAGAAAATTAAATAAAAAAAATCCATTAAAATTATCAAATTATTCTAAAATCTTAAAGAACCTCATTGTAATAAATTTTATTTGTTTAATTATTAAATCACCCTTCTTCTTTTTTTTTTTTTTAAGTTTGTATTGCAAACTAAAAAAGCAGTGCTTGATAATTTAAGGTGTAACGATTGACAACTATTGCGGCAGATATTGACAACTCATATATTATAATTTGTAATGTGCTGAGAAAATGTATTGTCAATAATTATCGCAATAGTTGTAAATCGTTACACCTTACACCTTAAATTGTCAACGACTATTCTTTCAGTTGTCAATATAAACTTGAAAAAAGTAATTTGATAATTAAATAAATAAAAATTTATTATAATGAGGTCTCTTGATGTTTTAAAATAATTTAATAATTTAAAGATATATTTTTGTATTTTATTTTTTTGGGATAGGACCTTGTTACAATTTCTCTTCTAAATACCCTCCAAAAAGAAAGAAAATGAAGCAGTGAAGGGAAGCACCCATCCTTGGGTTTTCAAGTGTCACATCAAACTCGGCCTTCAAGTTACCCTATGAGAAGTCAATCCACCTTTTTCATGCTTTTAAGAAATCGATCCTTTTTCCCGCTTCATCTTGTTCCCTGCGACCCCTTGTGATACTCCTAGACCCCACATCAGATGGGTGTGCGCAAAGTGACTGTTTAGGTATCACCCATGTTAGGTGATTTTCCCTTCAGTCCTTTGTTTGAAAAAAAAGCCATACAGAGCGAAGCGAACCCAGTAAAAACCGAGTGCGGGAGCACCTGGTGTGTGCTTGGGACGGTCTCTTGTGGGTGCTCTTAAACCCCACATCAGATGGGTGAGTGTGTGCGTTAGTGTGTATAAGTAGGGACTGTTTGGGTACGACCAACGTTGGTTTTGCCTTCAATCCCTTGTCAAAAAAAAAAAAAAAATTCTTGTTCCCTGCGACTGTTTCGTTTCTGCCTGGGTGAAGAAAGGTGGGAAAGGTAGTGGCCTGTTCGACTTTTCCTGGCAGTATTTAACAACAAAAACAAAGAAAATAAAAAAGCTCGAGTGAAGACGCAACAGGGAGAAGACGAAAAGCGTTAGAGGGTGAAAACAGTGAGAAGTTCA